GCGTTTCGGCTGCCCCGGATCATACTCTTTTCCTCCTTCAGTAGGCGATAATTTGGAAAAGACGATTTTTAATTGCAGAATTGAAATTGAATTCAGTGGATACGAAATTCTTGTGCATTTTCATTTCAACTTCTTTAGCGAAATTTTATAACTTTCCTTAGATTCATAGTTCATTCATCCGTTTAGTCCATTCACTTTGCTTCAGTTGTCTATTGTTCAATTTTCATTTCCTTATTGTTGCAGCGTGAAAGAGCATCCGATTGCTCAATTGTATTACTATGTGCACTGGAAGAAAATTATTTGCATATTATTAGGTCATGTCTCCTCTTCCTGGTGATTATTTTTCTTACAGATTTCTAATTCTGTACAGATTTCTAACTCCACTGATAACTTTTGTGAAATTGACAAATTTTATTTCGAGGCTTCATCGAAGCCAGCAAAAACTTCCGTTATACTTTTATTACGCATTCGAAAAAGTTCTTCTGTTATTGTTATCGTGTTTTGTTGAATCGGCCATTGTTGTTGTTTCATTGTTATCATGGAATTTGTTATTCTTGTTGTTATTGTTGTTAATTTGATGAAGATTCAGCTTATACCCCTATTACAATTGTTCTCATCAGTGAAATTCTTATGTGTACTATGCGATTCGTTGTTATGCGCCAAGTTTTGTGAATGAATGTTTTCACGTGAATATAATTGATTCCGAAAAGAATATAATAAAAACAAAATTTAGACGATCAAATCAGATTTGAAAATGGATACAGAAGAGGATGAAATCGACGAGTGCAGTTTAGCAATTTCAAAAGAGTTCAAATTTTCGTTGCTTTGCGAATATTTACAATGCATCAAAAATGTTCCGAAACAAGCAAAGACGTCAAGACGACGTATTTTCACGTCGCTGCTTGAGAAATGGTCATCGTACAATCGCAGTCAAAGTCAAACAACCGAATCGACATCCAACTATACAGCGAGTTTCTATCCAGCCTTGAGACTCATCATTAATGCATACGATAATCGCAAGTTCAACATGAAATCGGTAATATTTCCATCGAATAAGCCTCAATCGCCCTATACCTCTAATATTAGTTGGAATCGAGATTTGACGGATTGGTTTTGAAATTTATTCAAATTTTCGGATTTTTTGAAAATTTCTAGTCATTGCTGCATTTTGATGCTAACAATGCGATAACCTTATTCAGTTGTTTAGTTCCTTTGAGTTCTATTTAATGATTACGATAAACGCATTATCTTATGGTTGTATTATTATAATTCATCCGTTCAGTTTCCATATTAGTCAAAATTTAATTGTTCTTTCAGAAGAAACTGATCGCTAAAGTATGTAAGGTGTTGCTGATTCCTGATGAAACCAAGAAAGAGTTGCTGAAAATTGATTCGACGGTAATTTTGCAAAATTTTTGTTTCATCTCACAACTTTTTACTTGAGTACAGTTTAGTGGGCGATTTTCAATTCATTATTATGAATGCCTTAAAGTTAGCAGTAGCCTGAATACTCTCTTTATTCATTTTGCTTTAGAATTATCATAATTATA